TCTGTGGCTTGGGCAAGTCTCCTACCCTCTCTTAGTCTATTTTCTCCTCTTCAATGAGAAGCTACCATTTCTTGAGCACCTTCCCACTTTGTGCCACATTGTCTCTTGAGGCTGACGTTATCGTCCCCGCTTTACAGCTGAGCAAACTGAGGTACAGAAAGAAAGCTGAGGTTCTTTGTGAGGAAGCCATGGAACCAGCAGTGGATGGCTGTGTTCTCCTTCCCATGGCCCCTAGTGCTCTGCTTGCTGGTCTCCAGCCGTGGCTATTTTCAGGCCCTGGCACTACCCTGGCTGCAGCCCCTACCCTCCTCCCCAAAGCCTGAGACTGGGCTGCTGCTCCAGGGTCACTCAGCTCGGCCTGGGAGGAGCTCAGACTTGAACCCAGGCCCCTTGGCTCCTGGCCTCCCTCCCTCTGGCCAGCAGGCTGGGCCTGTTCCCTGGGTGAGTCATGCCCCTGGACTTTGGCCTCCTTGTCAGGCTCTATGGCCTGAATTGGAAGAGGGGGGCCTTTGTGAGAAAGAGGGGCTCCCCTGGTAGCAGTGGGGGTCTGAAGCTATCATCCCTCTCCCTCCTCAGTCCTGGGCCCTGAGGGCATGGTGACAGCAACCCATAACCTGTCTTCCCTCCACTGATCTCTAAGAAGTCTTATAGGAAGAACTCCTGAGACCTCAGTGACAGCCCTCCTTACTCATTCTGCCCCCTCCCTAGATAACTATTGTATATTCAGTTAGAAATGGGGTGGGGGGAGCTTGAGGCGGTGGCATTTCCAGGTTGTCTGTGCCCAGGCGGCTTCTTGCCCAGCACTGGGCCACTGGGTTACCCAGGAGGGAAGCCATAGTGCCTCCTCTCCTGGTGTCCAGGGACCAAGGTCACACCCAGAGCCCTATGCGCCTCCACCTCCTCTTGGGGCCAGTGGTGTTTGTCACTGGGGCAACGTGCGGCTGTGCCCAGCTCTGGCAGTGCTGGGGTGACATTCATGCCCTGTGAGCTGTGACGCCTCTGCAGGCAGAGGACAGCACCACCCAGGCTGGCAGTGATGGGGGAGGGGTGGGAGTGGGCTGTCACCTGTCGAAAGCAGTCGGGGTGATATGTTGTGGACCCATCCTACAGTCTGGAGGGAAGGAGGGAGGTTGTGTCCCTGGCTTATACTGTGGGTTGGGGGAGATCTATATCCTTCTCACACCTGGAAGGCGAGGCTTGCTTGTGTGCATGTGTGTGCGAGAGAGATTCGCCGTGTGTTTCACATCTCATTAGTGGGGGTGGGGGTGCCTGTTTGGTTGTGCGTTAGTTACACCATTGAGAGGGTGACAGCCTATATTCCTGTCTCATACTGTCTGGGGGTATCAGATGTGCCCATCTCATACTTTGGGGGAAGTGACAGGTTATGCACTTCACCCATCCTGCTAGGAGGGTAGTCACCGACTCATACGCCTGTCTCTGACTGTTGGGTATGTGTGAGATGTCACCATGTGCCCATCTCATGCTGTTGTGGGAAGTGATATGTGTGATTATCTCATGCTGTTGGGAGGTTGTCAGTAACTTGGGAGCTTGTCTGTCACTCGAAAGAGACAACATGTTGCCCAGTGGTATGGAGCTGACAGTTGGTACCCAGTGGTACGGAGACTACAGGTCCCCACAGGGCTGGCCAGAGGAAGCACTTATGGATTTGGGGGGGTGGAGGGGTTGCCTCAGTCTCACATGACCTACCTTCTGACCCAGGTGCCAACCCTGGGGACCTTTCCCCTGGAGGAAGGACCTGGTGTTTTTCTGACAGTGTGGAACAGGACCTCTGGGACTGGGGCAGGTGTGACTGGAAAGTTGGGGCACCAAGCAGGGTTCGCATGGGGGGCTGTGTCCCCCAGGCCTGTGGGACCCTATTCCCTGCCTCTTCTGCCCCTGAAACTGTTAAACTAATTAAAGCTGTGGAGCCGCAGGATTAATCGGGGCAGCTCGGCGCGGGCCGGGAGCTCAGGTAGTCGATTAGTGTGCCGCGGAGGATATTGGATTTCTGAACCGCAAGTCAGCACTATTCGGGCCTGTTATCTCTCCGAGGCTCGAGGGTCAGGAGGCGGGAGGCTCCAAGCGCGCTGGCCACCCCCGCCCAGACATCTCTGAGCGTCCATTCCCCCTGCCCACACTGCCACCATCTCCGCCTGTCTGACAGCGTCCGCACCCCCTGCCCTGCTGACCCTGCTGCTGCCCATGCGGCATTCTCACCCAGCCTTTCTTCCCTGGCTCATCCTGGCCCTGCACGAGGTGTCCCCTGTCTCCCTCCATCACCCTCCACCACCCTCCAGTCCCCGTCTGTCAGGCTGGCCTCCCCAGTGCTGCCATTGCCTCTGGCTCGCTCCCTCTCAGTCCCACCTGGCCTGACTCGCACCCTGTGCCTCACTGACACCCGCTCTTCAGCCTCTGACTGCCCCTCCACCTCTGCCTTCCTGTCCCTGTCCCTGTCCCTGTCCCCTAGTCTCTTTCTCTGTCTCTCTGCTATTGTATGTGCCTGTCTCACAGTTTCTGTCTCTCATGTCTCTGTTTCTCTCCCTCTTTGTGTCTCTGTGTATCTTTTTCTTTCTCACTCTCCCTCTCTCTTCTTTCCTCCCTCTGGCACTCAATTTCTCTCTCTCTCTCTCTCTCTCTCTCTCTCTCTTTCTCTCTCTCTCTCTTGTGTGGTCTCGGCTGGTGTCTGCAACCAGAACAAATCTCCCCCAGCCAACACCCCCTGAACAAGGAGGCCAGAGCAGCTAATGGGAAACATGTGATTCTGCCTTGCGCCTGGAGCACCGTGAAGGGAGCCTTAGTCCCAGCTCAGCCCCTGCTCCCCCTCTCACTGCATTCCCCGCACCACACTGTCCCCTGTCTCCCTGGGGCTCCCCAACCTGTGTGGGCACAGTGCAAGTTCCCCAGTCATTTACATTTCAGGGGGGGTGGGAGGAGCTGACGTTTTTTTTTCAGTTGGGGAGTATCAGGTTGTGGAGGGGCTGGGAGCAGCTTTGCTCCTTTGGTTCCCCTCAGCCCCCAGGGCCAGGCAGACCCCATGCAGACTCCCCCCACCACCACCACCATATGTAGGAAAACAGGGCCAAGATGAGCTGAGCTGTGGGGGCCTGGATGGGGGGCAGCCAGTCCACCCCCACTGGAAGGCTCTGGAGCCACCCAGATTTCCATCTTTTCCGCCCTTCTGGGCCTCTGGGGAGCTGCAGTGGTGGGGGCTCCCTGAGGGCTTTGGAGCTGCTGGGCTGCATTTCTGTGCCCACCCAACCACGGGGAAAGGGGGGACAGATCAGAGGAGGGAGACTCTGGCAGGTTGGAATTCTCCTTCTCTGCCTGTGGATAAATTGTCCCTAATCCAGGCTTGGGGAGCTGTCTGGCTCCTACAGAGAAAAAGAGAGAGAGAGAAAGAGAGAGAGAGAGAGAGAGAGAGAGGAAGCAGGCATACAAACACAGTGACACAGACACACACTGTCTCACAAAGGGTCTCTCACATGCGCGCACACACGTACTAACGAGTTACACAAAGGTACCACACAGACACTGAGGCACCCTTGGTTGGCAGGCACGCTATGACACACAGATCCTCTCACACATGTTGACACTGACACAGCTGGCACAGACATACAATGACATGGCACGAGGACCCACAGACACACACAGACACACAGTTATAAGGTCATACAACTCACACATGCATGGACAAACACATGAGACCGTACTGACCCGTGGTGAAACAGACCCACAAGGACACTGTGACCGGTCACGCTGTCACACCATGACCCTGAAAACCCAAAGAAAGGCAGAAGTAGGAGGGAGGCAACACTGATCCACAGTGACACCAGTGCCTGCAGTCACAGGCCTTGAGATGGGAAACCTGCAGGGACAGCAGAGCATCAGCCGCTCTCCCCCCCCACCCCCCTCCCCACACACATTCAGAGAGCTCCGAGACAGGCAGAAGCCAGTTCTGCGCCTGACACAGCGGGATGCAGAGAGCCGGACAGAGTGTGTACATACACAGACACACTCATAGCCTGGCCACAGCTCAGCACACCTTGTCTCACACAGGCACACACACTTCCACTTCTGTGTCTTCACAGGCACGTAAACACAGGCTCAGCTGGACATACACAAAGCTGAACAGACCCAGAGGCACACACCCACACGTATAACTGAAGACACTGAACCCAAGTACACATCACACACACAGAGTCCCATACATGTACACTCTTAAACACACATGTACCTGCATAGACATACAAAAATACACAGAGAAACATACAGAAAGCTAAATAAACCCAGGAGCCCACATGCAGGTAGGTGTATTTACCCAGACAACTCAACACAGACATACATTTATACAGGCAGGATCTCTAACACACACACAAATTCCCAGGCAAACAGAACCTGCAAGGAGACCATGAAGCCTGGTTCCAAGACACCCCCGCCCCCTGCACTCCAGGGCAGACCTCAAGGAGGCAGGGGGGTGGTGAGAAGGGCTATGGCTATTAAAGAGAACAAGAGGCATAACCAGTAGCTGATAGAGAAGAGTAAATGCCACCTGCATATACACCCCCTCGTGGAAACCTACATACACCATCACTGTAAACAAGCTCTTAGCATTTATAGTTTTCCCAGAGCGTTCCTCCCCATTCGCAATATCTCCCCATTGTGTAGATGAGAAAACTGAGAGCCAGCGAGGTTAACTGACTTGCCCAAGATCAGACAGTGAGGGTCGAGCCAAGGACTATCTGACTCCCAAGACCAGGTTCTTTCCACCATAGCATATGTGTTCATGTTCATGCATGTGTGTACCTACACATAACAAAGATACTGCTTCCCAATAGGAACCTAATGTTTCAAGGTTTACAACTCCCGAGTGAAATGAGGTTTGAGCTGCTTTAATTGTGTGCAAGAGTAAGCCCCATCCATCTAGGACGGCCTCCTGGTCCCTCTGTCTGGCTCACCCTGTGTCCATACTTATGCCTGTGGTGCTGTGTTTGCTTCCACAGATGGGAGCTTGCCTGCCTGACTACCCATCGGCCTGGACCCCAAAACCCGCCCAGCTAAGTGTGTGCAGAGGGTCCCGGGTTTGGGGCGACTCTCAGGCTGCCAAGGAGACCACCCTGGAATCACTGGCGAAGACGGGCCTTTCCTGCTGAGCTGGGCCTGTCTACACAGTCTGCTCGGGTAGGTAACAACATATAGGGAAGCCAGGTCTGTGCTTGGGCCACCCCCAGGAAGTGGAGGAGATCAGGGGGACTCACTTCCCCATCCTAGCAGGGATTCCCCCCTGCTTAGGCCACAAAGAGGCCCTTTACAGAATCAAAATATAATAACAACTTACTCAAATTTCCAATGGGATACTGAGGCCCATGGGTATACAGCAAGTCCGATGGACTCCTGCCTCCTAGTCTGGGTCCTCTTCCCTGCTCCTTGATGACCTGAGAGAACTGGGAAGGGAAAGGGTTTGTGACAGTGAGCAGAACTCAGGGCAGAGGTGGAGACCAGAGTGCCTAAAATGTACAGCTGACCTCGAGGACTGAAGTCTGGAAGCAGAGAGCTGAGAGGCCAAGGCGAGGTGCTGAGAGGACCTGGGTAGTTCAGGTATGCTAGGCTGCCCTCCTAGGATGAGAGGGGGCAGGACCCGCCTCCCTACTCCTGGCCCAGATTAGCCCACCCAGGCTCTACAGCTACAGAGGCCAGGTGGGGCCGCCCTGCCCTACAGAGGCAACTCCCTGAACTGACACATGAAGCCTCAGGGCTCCAGGAAGCTCCCTAGAGCCCAGCCTGCTTGGGGACCCCACCCAACTTCCAAAAGAGCATTCCTGGAGCCTGAGGTCTGGGGGGCGGGGCCTCCTGGGATTGTAAGGGTGGAAAAGGTTGGGCTGTGGGAGGATAAGGATACAGGGCTGTGTGTACCCGCTGTAAAAGTACAGGACATCTTATGTGCAAGTACGCAGGCATGCGTGCAAGCAGGTGTGTGTAGGGGCTCTGTCCTTCGGAGTCCAGAGCTCTCTATATGAGAGTTATATAAGTGAACTGAGCTGGGAGACGTTTGAGGGCTGCGTGTGTGGTATGAGAAGTGTGCAGGACTCCGTGTGTCCTGTGCAGGTGTGGGAATACTGGAGTGTTGTGTGTGCCGTACTGGATGGTGTATGTATACAGGATGCTAGTGTACGCTGAAGAGGTGTGTAGACAAGAACCTGAACACTGGAGTGATATGTGGGTACACTGGGATGGTGTGGTGCGTACACACTGGGATCTGTCTGTGTGTCAGACACTGGGGAAGTGTGTGTTCAGAGTTCTGAGTGCACACTGGGGGTGGTGTGTTCACATGGCTCCATTTGCGCTTTGGAGGTGGGCTGGGCAAGCCTTCAGCTGAGCTGGGCTCAGCAGTGCCCAGCCTTGTGGCCAAATCGCTGAAGTCACTTCCTTTCCAGCAGCAACTTTCCAGGAGGAGGAGTTCTGCAGACCTGGGCGGGGAGGGGGGGGGGCGTGGAACATGTTGCTCTCTGGGGAAGGAGGTGGGCGGGGGTGAGAGGCTGTGGGGAGGGCCTGGTGGGGCTGGAGGAGGGGAGTCCTCCGGGAGACAGAAGGAAAGACAAGGACAGAAGTCTGGAAGGGCCAAGGGCAGGAGGGGATGGGGGCGGAGCAGGGCGGGAAGCACAGTCCCTGGGTGACCTCGGGGAGAGGAAGGGAGGGCCACCCGGCAGGGTGACCCTCGGGTTCAACCAGAGCTGGCTGTGGTGCCCGCACACCTGGCACCCAGGGCAGGGGGCTGGCAGGGGGCGGGTCTAGGACAGACCTGCTTGCCAGGTGCCCAGCTCTGGGCAGGAAGGGGGTGGGCGAGGGCTGCACAAAGGAGCTCTGTGTAGCTGGGGATAGGGTGGGTGGGGGCTGATGGCTCCAGGGGGTGGGGCGGGGCTTGCTCCCCTTGGGGGCATCAGTGGCTCTAAGGGGACACCTAGTGGCAAGGGAGGGTAGTGCATTAGGATGACCGAGGTGGGAGAGGGTGGAGAAGCTGTCAGGGAGTAGATTAGAAGTCAAAGATTAAAACTGGTGGTTGGGACTAGAACAGTTGTAGGGGGCTGCAAGGGAGGGGGCCGACTCTTTGGACAGTGAAAAAGTTTGGTTGAGAGGAGCCCAACAAACCTAAATTCAGACTCAACTCTTCTGTGTCGTGGCTGTTTGTCCTTAATGGCATAACTTAACCTCTCTGTGTCCCCACTTAAATGCCAAATAAGTGATACTTGTCACTATTATTGTCATTATTGTTATTTTTGTTATGATTTTGGGCTGGAGTCAGGTTAGAAGAAGATCTTAGGGTACATTTGGGTGGGTGGGAGGGGCTGAAGAGAAGGAGGTTGAGAGGGGTGATGCTTAGTTCCTGAGGGGGCAGATCCTGGGAGATACAGGCCTCGACGACCGGAGATGCTGGAGGTCTCACAGCAGCAGTAATAGCCCCTTGGATGCAGTCTTTCCATTTGAGGACATCCCTGGGCCTTCAATCCCGGCTGGGAGGGAAATGGTGTTGGGGGGAGGAGTGTGCAGGCTGGAGAGAGGGTCATGAGGCCGGAAGTGAGAGCTGGGGCTGGCAGTCTGGCTCCCCTGGGGAGGCTGTGGGTGGGGGATGGGAGGCGGTCTGGGGAAGGGGTGGGGTGGTCACAGCCGCAGCAGGGAGGGTGGGGCTGGGGACTCAAGGATGTGGGCTGGCGCTTCCCGGCACTGTGCACAGCAGGTTGGGGCCTCCAGCCCCCTCCCAGCTGCCTGCTGTCCCCATGGGTAGGCTCAGAAGCAGACAGAGGGACAGAAGGACCCTTTAGACTTTGTTCACAGACATGGGATAGGTGGTGCCCTTGGGAGGGGTCCAAGAAAATGGCTGCCTGGGTGTGGTGGGGAGGGGAGCCAGCTGCTTCCCTCAGATCCTGGAGGCTGTAAAAGAGAGCAGTGGACAGAGTCAGGAGGTCTGGCAGGAGGACTTGCCCAAAGGTCTTCACCGGTGGGTGGAACAGAAGCAACCACTGGAGAGGAGGTTTTTCTCTTCTGCCAAGATCACACCCTCTGGCCCTAAGTGGGAGGTCTGCAGAGCAGGGAGGGATGGTGGCTTCTGGTAGGCATCTCAAGGAAGGCATCAGGAGCCATGGGTCAACCATACTATTGGAAGTCAGACCTGGAGATTCCAGAGTCTGAGCCCTCTTCCTTCCCTTGTGAGGGTGTTACCTAATGTCCTTCCTGCAAGAGCAGCGGTGGGATTCTTGAAGCAGAGATCCTGGTCTGGGAGGGGCCAGTCCACGGCCTACAGCCAGGCACGGAGAGAACAGAATCCTGAATGATTGAGTAGGTGGGACATGAGGAGCCCCTAAGGTCTGGGATCTGCAGAGAGGGAATGGACAGTGGACAGAAGGATGTTCTGCTTGGATGTGCAATAGAAGGGTCTTCCCCATGCTTTGGGCAAAGTCTCTTTCCCGTTTTGGGTCTCAGTTTGCTCATCTATAAAATGGGAGAGGCATGAGGTGGCACTAGAACACTGCCCACAAGAGGAGCTGATTGGAGATACAGATTTTCAGATGTCCCTTCAGGTCTATGAGTCAGACATCCCTGGACTAGGACCTGGGTATCTGGAATGTTACACAGCTCCCCCAGGCGCAGGGTTTGGAAGCCAGTGGGTTAGACAATTTTTAAGGTTCCTCTGAGCCTTAAATTCGACCACAGCTCTAGAAGGAGCACTTTCAGGAGTGGCTGACGGAGAAATGCAGGAGCTGGGAGTGGAAGGAAGCTTTGGACATAGGGCAGAATTAGCAATCCTGCCACTTAGCAGCTGTGTGACTTCAGGCAAGGTACACAATTGCTCTGAGCCTATTTCCTCTGTAATGCGGGGATCATAAACTGCCGCCGCCCAGGCCGCTATGAGGATTCAGTTGGTCATATATGTGGAGGTACTTTGTAGGTTGCAAATCGATGTTCACCAGAGGGGAATGGGGGAGTGTCCTTATCCATACCATCCTGTCCCTAGTCTAGTCAGCTGTGCAGTCTTCCTGTGGGGTGTCAGCACTGGACAGACAATATGGCAGCCAGTAAGCGTCTCCATGTGTCTATGGGGGATGGGCCTTGGGGGTCAGGTCAGAGCCAAGCACACTAGGCATTGTTGGGGCCAGTTTTTAAGACCCTCACAGTGGTCCGGGCCCATTCAGCTCCTTACTCCCCCGATCCCAGCTCCTGTGGATCAGCCAGGCCTCTTGAGTCCCCAGGCTCCCTTGGAAGTCTGACATTCCTGGATCTAAATCCCAGCTCTGCACAAACCAGCTCAGGGAGTCCAGTGGTAGATATTTATGTAGCACCCATAGACCAGGCCCTGGGGTCAGCGGATACAGCGGTATACCAGACAGACTCGGCCCCTGCCTCTGAAGGGCCCACACTCTGGGGGGACCCACTGAACAGCCAGTTATACAAGTAAATGATTGCAGTTGTGATAAATATTGTGAAGGTGAAATAGAGAGTACTCTGGGAATATATGTATAGCAAGGGCTGGCCAAGGCCAGAGATGGGATGGTGGGGGTGAGTTCAGAGAGGGCCTTTCTGACAAAGGTGGAAGAGGGGTCAGAAAATGTCCCTTTCTACATTCTTGTCTCTCTCCCTCCCTCAGCCTCCTTTTTGGGTCCGGAGAGGAATGAAAGAGCTTCATGGGAAAGGCAGGGCTGAGTGCTCTGTGTGCCGCATTCGTTCATTCATTCATTCATTCAGTAAATGTTTTTTGAACCACTTGTGGGCCATGTGCTGATCAGGGTTTTGGGAGATACATACAGAAATGAACAGGACAGAAATCTTGCGCTCATTGTGCTTAAAACCTTCCAGTGTGTGGTTTCCTCATCTGTGAAAATGGGGGTGATAACCATATTGATCTCAGGTTTGCAGGGGGGTTAGATGAGATAATCCATATAAAGTGCTTAGGCCAGTGTTTGGCATCAGGGAAAGCGCCCCCAAAGTATGAGCTATTGTTGACTCCCTGGCGTGATTGCTAAACGTCTGACCTCAGACACTCTTCACTTTTTCTTTGCAGCTTTTATCCCAGTAATAATTAAGTCATTTATGATTATCTGATGTTTGTCTACCCAGTCCTTGTACAAAGTAGGCACTCCATAATTAACGGGTATATGAATGAATGATGTTACTTCAATCTCTGAGCTTCCATTTCTTCATCTACAAAATGGGGTTATTAATAGGCCCTACCTCGCAGGATTGGTATGAAGAATTAAATGAAACGATGCCTGGACAGCTTCCAGCCCAGTGCCTGGCGCGCAGTAGGTGCTCACTAAACCTGAGCTGCGATGGTCCTTTCCAGGCGCTGTCCACGCCCCGAGGCCTGGGCTCAGGCCGAAGTTGCTCCACAGCACCCCCAGCTGACAGCCAACGACTGGCAGAGCCCCCAGGCACGGGGGCCCTCTCTCTCTCAGGTCAGCCGGGTGTGTGTGCTAGAGGGAACTGGGGGTGGTATGTGGAGGAGACCAGGCCAGCGGGCAGGTAGACAGGTCAGGTGGACCAGGTGCTCTAGCCGGCAGACCATTCAGATCTCCTGTTGCCTGTCTTGTTGCCCACAGAGATCTCCAGTGTGACAACCCAGGCGGCAGAGCCGAGGGTGAGTGGCTGGGGTTCCCCCGGAACCCTGGGGATGGGGCGAGAAGGAGGGAGGCCTTGCTCTTGGTGGGACTCCTTGCCCTCTCCTTAAGTTTGATCTGGAATGGCCGCCTTGCCCTGCTGATGTTCTTTCCTCAGAGGCAGGTGTCCTGTTCCCCCTAGGGCCTAAAAGGGATGAGCTGTCAATCAGTGGAACTGAGGCCCATGAGGGGTTCATGGTGCATGCGGTGGTTTGGGAGAAGCTGAGTGAGAGCCAATAAGTGGATTGCGCTTGGGGAGGGGACTAAGAGGGGTGCAGGGGCTCATTGAGGATATGGGGAGCTGATGAGGACTTGGGTGTTCAGTGAGGGACCTCCTGCCTATCCTGCTCTGCAGGTCCTGGTCCCGGCTTCTCGCACCCTCATGTCAGCCCCGGCCCCGCCCGGCGGCCCGCGGAGGACAAGGTCAGGATGCGTGTGAAGCCCCAGGGCCTGGTGGTGACTTCCAGTGCCGTGTGCAGCTCTCCTGACTACCTCCGGGAGCCCAAGTATTACCCCGGCGGCCCCCCCACCCCCCGGCCCTTGCTTCCCACGCGGCCCCCCGCCAGCCCACCTGACAAGGCCTTCGCCCACACCTTCTCTGAGAACCCGCGCCCACCCCCACGCCGGGACCCCAGCACCCGGCGCCCACCAGTCCTTGCCAAGGGGGACGACCCGCTGCCCCCTCGGGCCGCCCGTCCTGTCTCACAGGCCCACTGCCCCACACCCGCCGGAGACGGCAACAGCTCCCGACGTCGCTGGGACAACGGGCGGGTGAACCTGCGTCCAGTGGTGCAGCTGATTGACATCATGAAAGACCTGACTCGGCTCTCCCAGGACCTGCAGCACAGCGGCGTGCACCTGGACTGTGGTGGGCTCCGGCTGAGCCGCCCGCCTGCCCCGCCCCCCGGTGACCTTCAGTATAGCTTCTTCTCTTCCCCCAGCCTGGCCAACAGCATCCGCAGCCCTGAGGAGCGGGCCACCCCCCACGCCAAGTCTGAGCGGCCCAGCCACCCCCTCTACGAGCCTGAGCCTGAGCCTAGGGACAGCCCCCAGCCTGGCCAAGGCCATAGTCCTGGAGCCACGGCCGCAGCCACCGGTCTGCCCCCAGAGCCTGAGCCAGACGGCCCTGATTACTCAGAACTCGCTGACGCCGATATCCTTAGTGAGCTGGCCTCTCTTACTTGCCCCGAGGCCCAGCTGCTGGAGGCCCAGGCCCTTGAGCCACCATCGCCCGAGCCAGAGCCTCAGCTCCTGGATCCCCAGCCCCGCTTCCTGGACCCACAGGCACTAGAGCCACTCGGGGAAGCTTTGGAGCTGCCGCCCCTGCAACCTCTTGCTGATCCTCTGGGGCTGCCAGGCCTGGCTCTGCAGGCCCTGGATACCCTGCCTGACTCCCTGGAGTCCCAGCTCCTTGACCCTCAGGCACTTGACCCCCTGCCCAAGTTGCTTGATGTCCCTGGACGCCGTCTGGAGCCCCAGCAGCCCCTAGGGCCCTGCCCACTGGCAGAGCCCTTGCGCCTGGACTTGTGCTCACCCCATGGCCCCCATGGGCCTGAGGGTCACCCCAAGTACGCCTTGCGGCGCACTGATAGGCCAAAGATCCTGTGTCGCCGGCGGAAAGCCGGACGGGGGCGCAAGGCAGACGCTGGACCTGAGGGCCGCCTGCTGCCCCTGCCTATGCCCACAGGGCTGGCTGCCACCCTAGCTGAGCCCCCGCCACCACCGCCGCCACCACCTCCTGCTCTGCCAGGTCCAGGCCCAGTCCCAGAGCTGGAGCCAGAATCTTCCCAGACCCCAGTGGTCCCTACCCGCAAAAGCAAGTGCCGGGGTGTGCGGCGCATGGTGGTGAAAATGGCCAAGATCCCCGTATCACTGGGACGGCGGAACAAGACTACATACAAGGTATCGTCCTTGAGCAGCAGCCTGAGTGTGGAGGGCAAGGAGCTGGGCCTGCGCGTGTCAGCAGAGCCCACCCCGCTGCTGAAGATGAAGAACAATGGACGGAACGTGGTGGTGGTCTTCCCACCTGGCGAGATGCCCATTATTCTCAAGCGTAAGCGTGGCCGTCCTCCTAAGAACCTGCTGCTGGGTCCTGGCAAGCCCAAGGAACCAGCTGTGGTGGCAGCCGAGGCAGCCACGGTGGCAGCAGCCACCATGGCGATGCCGGAGGTGAAGAAACGACGGCGGCGGAAGCAGAAGCTGGCATCTCCCCAGCCGTCCTATGCTGCAGACGCCAACGACAGCAAGGCCGAGTACTCAGACGTCCTTGCCAAGCTGGCCTTTCTGAACCGCCAGAGCCAGTGCGCCGGGCGGTGCTCACCGCCCCGCTGCTGGACACCCAGTGAGCCCGAGTCAGTGCATCAGGCACCTGACACCCAGAGCATCTCCCACTTCCTGCATCGAGTGCAGGGCTTCCGGCGGCGTGGTGGCAAAGCAGGCGGTTTTGGTGGCCGGGGTGGGGGCCATGCGGCCAAGGCAGCCCGAGTCTCCTTCAGTGACTTCTTTGAGGGCATCGGCAAGAAAAAGAAGGTGGTGACAGTGGCATCTGCTGGGGTGGGGGGCCCTGGCCTCACTGAGTTGGGGCACCCCCGCAAACGGGGCCGGGGAGAGGTGGATGCCGTGACTGGGAAGCCCAAGCGCAAAAGGCGGTCCCGGAAGAACGGGACTCTGTTCCCAGAGCAGGTGCCCGGTGGCCCAGGCTTTGGGGAGGCTGGCGCTGAGTGGGCCGGGGACAAGGGTGGTGGCTGGGCCCCTCACCATGGGCACCCAGGTGGGCAAGCTGGCCGAAACTGTGGATTCCAGGGGACCGAGGCCCGAGCCTTTGCCTCCACTGGGCTAGAGAGTGGGGCTTCAGGCCGTGGCAGCTACTACAGCACAGGCACACCTGCAGGCCAGACTGAGCTCAGCCAGGAGCGCCAAAACCTCTTCACCGGATATTTTCGCTCCCTACTCGATTCAGATGACTCCTCTGACCTCTTGGACTTTGCCCTCTCAGCCTCACGCCCTGAGTCCCGGAAGGCATCGGGCAACTATGCAGGGCCCCCAACCAGTGCCCTGCCTGCCCAGCGGGGCCTGACCACCTTCCCCAGCCGAGGAGCCAAGGCCAGCCCAGTGGCAGTGGGTAGCAGTGGGGCTGGGGCAGACCCCTCCTTCCAATCTGTCCTGCCTGCTCGCCAGAACTTCCCGCCAGGCCGGGCAGCAAGCTACGGGATAACCCCAGCCACTTCAGACTGCCGGGCAGCCGAGACCTTCCCAAAGCTGGCTCCCCCGTCTTCTGCTGTGGCCCGCTCACCTACCACTCACCCGCCCACCAATACCTACCCCCCACAGTACGGTGGCTATGGGGCTGGACAGAGTGTATTTGCCCCAGCAAAACCCTTTACGGGTCAGGACTGTGCTAATAGCAAGGACTGCAGCTTTGCCTATGGCAGCGGCAACAGCCTGCCTGCCTCGCCTAGCAGTGCCCACAGCGCTGGCTACGCCCCACCTCCTTCTGGTGGCCCCTGCCTGCCACCAAGCAAGGCCTCCTTCTTCAACAGTTCTGAGGGAGCTGCCTTCTCTGGTTCAGCCCCCACACCCCTGCGCTGTGACAGCCGGGCCAGCACTGTCTCGCCCGGTGGCTACATGGTGCCCAAGGGCACCACAGCCTCTGCCACCTCCGCTGCCTCTGCCGCCTCTTCCTCTTCCTCCTCCTTTCAGCCCTCGCCTGAGAACTGTCGGCAGTTTGTGGGGGCTTCTCAGTGGCCTTTCCGGCAGGGCTATGGAGGCCTAGACTGGGCCTCAGAGGCCTTCAGTCAGCTCTACAATCCCGGTTTCGACTGCCACGTCAGTGAGCCCAACGTGATCCTGGACATCTCCAACTACACGCCACAGAAGGTGAAGCAGCAGACAGCTGTGTCTGAGACCTTCTCAGAGTCATCTTCTGACAGTACCCAGTTCAATCAACCAGTCGGCGGTGGTTTTAGGCGTGCCAACAGTGAGGCCTCGAGCAGTGAGGGCCAGTCGAGCCTGTCCAGCCTGGAAAAACTTATGATGGACTGGAATGAGGCATCATCTGCCCCCGGCTACAACTGGAACCAGAGTGTCCTCTTTCAGAGCAGCTCCAAGCCGGGTCGTGGACGGCGGAAGAAGGTTGATTTGTTTGAGGCCTCACATCTGGGCTTCCCGTCATCCGCCTCGGCCACTGCCTCAGGCTACCCATCCAAACGGAGCACTGGGCCCCGGCAGCCACGGGGTGGACGGGGCGGCGGGGCCTGCTCAGCCAAGAAAGAGCGGGGTGGCGCAGCAGCCAAAGCCAAGTTCATCCCCAAGCCACAGCCGGTCAACCCGCTGTTCCAGGACAGCCCTGACCTCGGCCTAGACTACTACAGTGGAGACAGCAGCATGTCACCACTACCCTCACAGTCAAGGGCCTTCGGCGTGGGCGAGCGAGACCCCTGTGACTTCATGGGACCTTATTCTATGAACCCATCCACGCCATCTGACGGTACCTTCGGCCAAGGTTTCCACTGCGATTCACCCAGCCTGGGTGCCCCTGAACTGGATGGCAAGCATTTCCCTCCACTGGCACACCCGCCCACGGTGTTTGATGCTGGCCTGCAGAAGGCATACTCACCCACATGCTCACCCACACTGGGCTTCAAGGAAGAGCTGCGGCCGCCACCCACAAAACTGGCTGCCTGTGAGCCCCTTAAGCACGGGCTCCAGGGGGCCAGCCTGGGCCATGCGGCTGCAGCCCAGGCCCACCTGAGCTGCCGGGACCTGCCGCTGGGCCAGCCCCACTATGACTCCCCCAGCTGCAAGGGCACGGCATATTGGTACCCGCCAGGCTCAGCTGCACGCAGCCCACCTTATGAAGGCAAGGTGGGTACAGGGCTGCTGGCTGACTTCCTGGGCAGGACGGAGGCCGTGTGCCTCAGTGCCCCACACCTGGCTAGCCCGCCAGCCACGCCCAAGGCCGACAAGGAGCCCCTGGAGATGGCCCGGCCTCCCGGCCCACCCCGTGGCCCCGCTGCAGCTGCTGCTGGCTATGGCTGCCCGCTCCTTAGTGACTTGACCCTGTCTCCGGTGCCGAGGGACTCGCTGCTGCCCCTGCAAGATACCGCCTACAGGTATCCAGGCTTTATGCCACAGGCGCATCCCGGCCTGGGTGGGGGCCCCAAGAGCGGCTTTCTGGGGCCCATGGCGGAACCTCACCCTGAGGACACATTCACCGTCACCTCCCTGTAGTGCCAACTGAAGTGCCGACTGGACCTCGAGGTTTTATTCCTGGGTGAGTCTGGGGATGTGGGTGTAGTGGACAGAGATCTGAGGGGCGGGGGGCATGAGGACATTAGAGCTTGGCCAAGGGAAAGAGATATAGTGATGAGCAAGAAAGACTGAGGACCTGACAACAGGGACTTGGAATTTAGGAAGGAGTCTGGAACTAAATGTTGGGAACAGTCTTAGGGAGGAGATGGGTTGCTTGGGTGGGGAACCCAGCATAGGGCTTGGATGATCAGGGGACCTTGTTATTAAATGGCTGGAGAACCATAGACTCGATGGGCCCATCTAGTTTGGTTTGTCAAGGATTTATTTCTCTCATCTATGCTAGGTCCTGGGCAGGCACCACCTGAGTCCCCGGAAACACTACTTGACCTCTTGGGAGGAAGGGCATTTGCATTGCCCTGCGTGAGACAAGTGAAGGGAGAAGCAGGTTGCTTAGTCATCTGCCAGGGTCCAGGGTACCGACCCTGCTGGGCTCCCTTGTTTCCCTAGGAGGAGCATCATTTAGTCCAAGAGGCAGTCTGGCAAGGGCCACACTAAAGGTGTAGCCAGTATGTCTGGTCATACACTCTGCAGTGACTTTACAAACTGGCCCAGAGTTTCCTTTCCTGGTCTTGCATGTTACCCCCCAGAGGCTATTTTTCAACATCTTTGGCCTGAGGTAGGTTCATTGTGGTCGGGCTTGTGGGGTAGGGCTCCCGAAGTGGAGAAGGGGTGCTAGGATCCTGCTGTGCCTGGGAACCTGCAGCCAGTGGGTCTGTCCCCAGGTAGGATTTTTCCTGCCTAAAAAAAAGTCAGTCTCTTTCCTGAAGCCAAACGCTTTTCCAAGACTCAGTTAAACATTGCTAGGTGTTTAGATGTTTTTATCAGGCACTGTGACCTCAGTAGCTCGACTCACAGTTTTAGTATTCTCAAGATTTTGTGTTTTAGAAAAGGAAAATAAAAGAGAGAAAATGTCTCCAAAATGGGAAAAGGGGAGGGGATTGGAGAAATCATTTTTTGGATGAACAACCTGCTCCAGAAATACAGCCAGAAGTGGGCTAGGGCCCTGTCTGAGCCCCTCACCTTTCGCCTCTGCTGCCACTGAAGCCTCCTGGGAGTGTCTTCTTGGAGAAGGAATAGCAGGCTACTGGAAAACCCCGTTCCTGTTCTAGGGAACCTATTCAAGGCCAAAGTGACTCAGGGTCCTAAAGCCATGTCATTGGAAACTTATTACCCTTTCTCTACCTGACATCAGCTCTTTGGTACCTAAAGGTGGCAAAGGGCAGCACATGGAAGTCAGGAGGCCTGGGGAAGGACAATTTCCCAGTTGGCCATCAACTTGCTGTATGCCCTTGACTGCTTTTATTATCCCACCCCCACTCCCACTCGGGCCTCTGTTTCCCCATCTGTTTGAGGAAATTGACTTTGATCACCTCTTAGGCTCTTGCAACTCTGCGTGGCATAGACAATGGACCAAACTATTTTTTTTTTTTGGCAGCATATTTTTCCTCCTAATGAAGCCAGGCCAAGATTAAAATGGCCTTCCATTCCCCCTGTGTCTCATTGCAAGCAGCAGAGCCGCAGATCTGAAGCAGGCCAGGGAGAAGCTGCTTAGGGTTTAAAATGTCAAACTCTTGATCCTTCTCACTGGAGGGGAGATGTCTCATGGATAATCAGAAATGTGAAATAATCCAAAAACCATTCCTCCCAGGCTCTGAGTGGGAAAATAAACGGGTGTGGGAGCTGGGTGTTTGGGCAGGTCACAGCTCAGTGAGATACATAATGGAACCACCAGTGAGGCCTGAACGCAGGAGGAACTGGGACTCAATCCAGCCCCACATTCTGGCCCTGCTCCCCACTCAGAGCTGGGAGTTGACAGCACTATTCTCAAACCAATGCGTTCAGTTATTCCAGAAACATCTGTCCAGTACCTACTACGTGCCAGGCATTGGGAGGTACCACAGTGAACACGACAAAGGAGGTCCTGGTCCTCAGGGAGTTTCCAGTTTAGAGAGAAAGACAGTAAACAGAATGACACAAAGCATTTGGTAACTATCGCCATAGGAAGGACTGCAAGAGAAGAAAAGCTAGGAAGCCACGAGAGCCTGTCGCAGGCTGACCAGATCCCGAAGCTAATGCTTCAAGGATGAGGGGGTGTTAGCTAGACAGGGAGTTGGAAGAGCATTCTGGGTAGAAGGAACAGCAGTGGGTAGAGCCCTGAGGCAGGAAGGACCTCAGCTTTGAGGAACTGATAGAAAGATAGTAATACCAAGTGAGGGGATGAGGCAGGCAGGGCCAGGTCCTGCAGGGCATTTGGAAGGAGTTTGAACTTTATTCCAAGACAATTAGGGAATCACTGAGGTGAACTCTCAGCTGGGATATGCCAAGGGTCACAGTGGAGCAGAGTGAGTGGTGAAGGAGGGAGACCAGCTGCAGTAGTCCAGCCAAGCACTGATGGTGGCTTGGCCCAAGGTGGTGGTAGGGCTGTCTCCCTTTATCTAACATGGCACACCAGCCCCCTCATTCATTTAGGATAACCCTCCAGTTCCAAGCACTGATTAAAATTATTATGGGAATGAGGAAGATTTGGGATATAGGGAAGTAGAATGGTGAGGAAGAAGAGTTGACAAAGGGAGTGTCACATCAATAGAGGGCGTAAGCAGAGAAGACCTTGACACGCTCATTCACCAACAGGATGTGAGCACTTTTGATGCTGGGCACTGGAGAAGCAGTCCTTCAGCTCACCCTCACATCTTGAGCCCTTCCATGCTCAACTCAGTGCCAGGCACGGGGAGACAAAGCAGCCAGCAACCACCCTGGGAAACTAAAACAAGTACACAAAGAACCTGAAAACACCTGGAGGGAAGTGGCAGGTGCCCGGAGGCAAGGAGAAACAAAGCTGGTGCACCAGGAAGATGGGTGTTGGGGTCAGAAGTCATTTCTCTGCTCCTTTGGTGAGCAAAGGGACTCATTTTGTGCTGGGCCTTTGTGTCACACCACTTGACTGAGCCTTCAGCCTGAGAGGTGGGTCCCCCACCCCCAATCTGTGAGTTGAGGAAACAGGTGCAGCTGTGAACCTTGCCCAGGGGACTCCACAGTTAGTAAATGGTGGAGCCAGCATTTGAACCCAGTACTGCTCCCCACCCCCAACCTGGGTGCTCTGCCACACTGCTCCCTCTCCACCCCACAGCTCTGATTCCTCACCTGGAAAATGAGAGATTGGTTGCATGTTCCCTACAACTGTTTCTGGGTCTGACATTTTAAATGGATTTTGAGGTTCTGTGGAAGAAGCTGCATTTGAACTTGACCTTGGAGAATAGATAAGATTTGGACATGTGGAGAATGGGGGGAGGGCATTCCAGGCAGAGGGAACTATGGACAAGGGCAGGTCACATCCCAATGGGGATTAGAAGAGGAAAGCTCAGAGGAGCCAGAGTGGGAAATGTGGGACCAGACTGGTCTGGGAGCTGAGCTAATGGGACAGAGAAGGAAAGGGGTGGGGGGGCACCTGGGCCCAGGCAGACATTTTCTCTAGTCCCTTAAATGGAAAGCAAGAGCCAGACAGACTGGCTCCGCATTGGGCCCTCATGGCTAGAGATGGTGCTTCCAGACCCTGGGAACGGGGTGGGAGGGTAGGAAGGGCCCTCCAAGGTGTTCAGGAATCTCAAGTCCTCCCTCTCCTCCCTGTTCTCTCTCAGGCCTGGACCTGAGGCCAAGAGAAATGTCACAGGTCCTCCAAGGTTACACCAGCTGGGGCCTGACTAGAGCAGAAAGCAAGTTTCCAAGGCCACCATCCAGCCAGGGTCAGCAGGCATGCCCGGACCTGGGCCAGGCCCCAGCTGCTCTGGGCTTTGTCTCTTTGCGTCTTGAAGCCTCAAGAGGTCACTTGATCTTGCCTCTGGCTCTGAGCAAGAGGCCCTCACGTCAGGGGTCAGCCAGTCCCGCCCTGCTTCTTCTGAGCTCCTCTTCCCCGCTCCCTGAGGCTGTCTTCCACCTCCAGTCCTGTCTCTTGCCTCTTCCCGTAGCCATTTTCAGACCAGGCCTTCTTGCTCTGAGGCCTCATTTCCTGGAAATCTAATCTCCCCGTGAACATGCCCTCTCACGCTCCTTCTCTGCCATCTCCCCATATCCCTGTGGACCTGGAAGGAGAACTCCAGGGAGCAAGGCCCTGAAACTGGGCTTGGAGAGGGTGAGCTAAGAGCGTGCCTGGAGGCACAGACAGGCCTCTGTGCAGAGCCTGATTCCATCCCATACCAGCCCTGTGACCTGGTGAGTCACGGCACCTTGCTGCATCTCTTAGGAGAATTAAATGACATTACCCGTGAAGCACTTAGCCCAGTCCCTGGCATGTAGTAAGCACGTAATCAGTGGCTAGTAAATGGGGGGCAGATAAAAACCTGTGTGAGTCACACACCCCTAGCTCTTTCCTGCTTGCTCAGGACTCCGTCCGTAGCCAGCCCTCCTTCACGCTCTCCCTGCTTCTCTCCTAGGAAAGAAGTGTATCGAGTGTAGGTTTGGGGCTTTTGGTAGGAGGTGAAATGCCACCGAGGTCTTTGCCTTAGCAACTAGGCTGAGTCCTCCCTAAGGGGCCCGAGACCAGGTAAGTCACAGGCCCCACCCCAAGGGACCCAAAGCCTAAGGAGCATGAGGACCAAGATCAGCTAGAATCCCCTGTCCACATAGTTAGGCACACTAGTCCTCTCTCATGGTGCCGATAATCTGAAAAAGATTTCCTACGACTTTGGAATACGTCATAATTTTTCCCCTGGCAGATTTGCCACCTTTGTCATAATAACTTTTGCTGCCATGGGGCCCTCTGTGCTGGAGGGCAGGGGCAAGTGGGTTAATTCTGTGTTCGCTGCACATGAACCAGCCACCTTTTCTGGGCCAGGCGTCGCAGCTGGTGCTGAGGGTACCACTGAACAAAACAAGCAGTGTCCTGCCCTCATGGAGTTTGCAGCCTATGAACAGGTGTTCACTAAAAGCCTCCGTGTGGGCATCACTCTCCAGAGGAGGGTCTGAAACACTCCCACCAGAAATACCAGAGCCCGCCCTTGGAAACCATGAGCAGGGCAGGCAGCAAGAGCTTCCTGGAGGCAAAACAAATGGGTCTTGAACAAATGTGAGGCTTCAGAAGCTGTAGCCCCAGCTCATCACCTGGATCAGAACCCAGCACCATCCAGGCCTCTTCTTCAACATCTGTCCACCCTCTGCCCAGGTGCATTCCCCGCCTTGTGTCCACCAGAGTGCTTTTCTTCAGTGCGTGGTATCCGGAGCCCCCCAAATATTTACTGGATTAATTAAGACACGTCTGTTCCTTTGACTCCATTGCTTAACACCTTTTGATTGCATCCTCCCCTCTCCAGCCTCCGTCCCTGCGAAATAAAGGCCCAACTTCCTAGCTTGGTATTCTGGGTATTCAAGTCTTCTTTCAGGCCCTGGCCTCCTTCTAACACACCCTCCCTTCCCAGCCCTGGACTGTGGAATCAGGAGGGAGTTTGTGGGGGGAGGGGACTTTCCTCAGTATAACCTGTGCCTTTGCTCTAGCTGCTCCCTGGCCTGGGCTGCCCTTTCCTACACACCATCTATCTCCCACCTGTCAGTTCCTATCTTTCATTCGGGCATCACCTCCTCCAAGAAGCATTCCAGGATCTTTCCCAGGCGCAATTAATCTCCAGCCCTTTATTCATCCATGACAGCCCTTCCTGGGAATGTCCTCTCCATGCCATCAGCTCCTTTAGGCCAGTTACTCATCTCTGTGCACTGTCCCTATCTCCCTCCCCAGTGTCTCATCATGCCTGGGACATTTCGGGGTCAGAGTTTTTTTTTTTCCCTTGAGTCAAAGAAGAGCATGTAGACTAGAGAGAATTGTGAGAGGAAAGGTTACGTGTTGAGTGGGTAGAAGACAATTCCTCTCAGCCCCACTGTCATCAGCTATACCCCTAAAAGTGGAGCAGGGGAGGGGTGTGTAAATAAACCAATTCAAGCTCTCAGAGCTAACTGGGCTTTTGGAGATCTCCAAGTACGGCCCTCCCAGATTACAGAGAGGGAAAGGGACTCGCCCAAAGACACACAGCCATCCAGGCAGGGACGCACAACATGGTAGAGCCAGGAAGAAGGGCCCTTGGGGATCCCCCAGTCCCACTGCTTGTCCTTTCCTCAACCTCCACTCCAGTCACATCCCAGTATATACCCATCAGTAACACCCATCTTTCTAGGCATCTCCAATCAGGAGGCTAGAGGGGGGGGTAGCCTCCTCCCACGACAGGTAAGGAGTGTGAGGCTCCGAGAGGTGGGAGATATGCACGTGGTCACAAGCTTGGTGGGGAACAATGGATGTGAACCATGTCTGGCTCCACTAGCATCCCTCTCTGCCCACCCAGCAGAAGGGGAGGTTGGGGGTAAGAACCCTAAGGAGGGAATGACTAACAGAGCTAGACTTGAAGAAGTAGCTCTGGTGGACACAGATTTTGAAAAACCCCTGGAGTGGGGAGGGGAGCCACACACCCCCACCCCACAGCCTGCCCACCCCCAATTGGAAGCCTCACCTATCAGTGTAGCTCCCATCTGTCAGTTGTGGTCTGAGCCCCAAGGAAAGCAGTTTCCTCTCCTCATTTGAGGGACTCGCTGGCCTGACTTGGCCTGAAAATGTCAGAGAGGGGATCAGCCTTTGGGGAGCTGTGGTTTGCCTCTGACCCCTTGTCTTTGGGGTACTCACAGTGCTCAACAATATCTCCCATTACCTGTTCAACTCCCTTATCTTGTGTAGAAACTGAAGCCCAGAGACGCAAAGGACTTGCCCTAGGTCACACAGCAAATCAGACTCGGCTCCACTGCCTTGTTTGATGTTGAGGCCCCCCCCACTGGCGAGGGTGGTTAGACCTTAGCTCCTGGCCTGGCAGTTAGTAGGTGTGAATACATGTTTGCTGGTTGCTTAAATGAATGTGGAATGTGTGGGGAGAGCAGCTCTGTCCAGATAACATGATCTGCAGCACTTGTGAGCGCCCCCAGTGCCAGCCCCCACTGACAGGCAGAGACCATTTAATGCCCTGGTACCTCAAATGGTAAAACTGCTAGAGCGTGAGACTCAGTGGCATGTGACTGCAGTCGTTCATTATGGAGGCACTAAAAGGTTAAGTCTCATGAACAATGGCTGGTGTCCTGGGGCATCAGGCACATGCTGGTGTTGGGGAGACAGAGATACCACACACAGGTCTGCCCTGGAGGAGCTGGGAAGGGAATGACAAGTGCACCGGTAGCTATGGTAACAGAGTGGTCTACAGGAGGTGTGCACGACCTGAGCTGGACCTTGACACACTGATCGGACTTAGACCAGTCGTCGCTCTGTCGTTCCGTCAGCACACATTCTTGACCCCAGCATATGCAGGGCACCGTGCTCAGCAGTGAGTAGAAGAGCCGCAGTGCCTCCCGCCAAGGCTGGGCTGGGTGCCCCTTTGTGCTCCCCGAGCCCCCTGAGGCTTTTCTTGGCATGCCCTCATCTCCCTGCATTGCCACAATTGCCTGGTTTGGGGTCTGCTTTGCTTTTCTCTCCACTCTGTGAGCCCTTCAAGGGCAGGGACCAGATCTGTCTTGTTCTCTGCTTTGTCTCCAGTGCCCAGCACCGGGCCGCCTGGCACATGACCATTGGTTCTGTTTTGCAGAGAGTTGAACCTAGTGAGGTCAGGGTTCTACATAGCCACAGGCCTTCTCCCTTTTCCCTGGCTCTGGATTGGGTTCTCTCCCCATCCCCCAGATTCTGGCCAAGTCATGAAAGCTGGGGAGGGCTGTAGGAGGAGGAAGGTGAGACTGCGATGGCTTAGCAGAGGGTGAGAAAGCCTCCCTGCTGCCTGGCCGCCGGCACCACGAGAATGGTTCTGGCAGGAGCTGCCTGCTGGGCTGAGATCACCATGGAGACCTGGCTTGGAGAGGGTCACTGGCAGGAGCTATGGGCTGGAGGGGGTGGGGGTGACAGGGATTTGTGAGCAGGCTCCCAGCCTGCCCCAGGGCCCTTATGGGGAGCAAGGGAGGGTGGGGTTCAGTATAATCCACTAGCTAAGTGGCTTGGGGCGGCCTGTTCTAAGTCTCCCCCTCACTTGCCTCCCCAGCACACTATACCTGTCACCCCATCGGGTTCCTTAGCTTAGCAGCTGTCCTTCAACTGCAATAAAGCTGTCCTACAGATAGGTGCCCCAGCCCTGCAGCTGAACCTATCCCACCAGCTCTAACAGTCCTGCCCCCTAATGGACACCCTGCTTCTTCAGCTGTTCCTGGTTATCACCCTACCTGTGGAGAATTGACACCCATCCCAACTGTACCCCCTGCCCTAGTCACCCCAGTTGTAATACAGCTGTTACACTAACGGGCACACCTCTTAACCCCAAGGCTAATAATGTTCCATCCTCCCCTCACCTTCAGGAGGCCTGACAGCTTAACAGAGATGCAGCCCCCATCCACCCCCTCACACCTCTGCTTGCCACCTGGGCTGAGACACCAGGTGGGGTGCCGCCCCCACCTTGCACCTCAAAGGAGCCCACCTGGGTCCCCTGGCCTTGGGGGAGTCCTGGCAAGTCCAGCTTCAGGACAAAAGTCTTCCCCAGGGCTGACTGCCCAGCAGACAGCAGCCGAGGCTGAGCAGAATTTAAATGTGGCCTGTTAGGAAGGGGAGCCAAGAAAGAGGACAAGGAAGGAAAGGCTTTCTGTGGCTACTGGGTTCCTGCAAGGGTGGGGGAGGGCAGGCTGGCTTGCTGAGGAGTCTTAGAAGGCAGTTTTAGCACCCCCACCCCTGCCCCTGAATTCTGGTAGGATGGTCACTCACCACATGTGGGACACTTGAATTTCCGGGCTCTGAGAAGAGGACCGGACTCTGAAAGGGCCAGGCTAATGACTGGAGGTCTTGAGAATAACCAAGCCCATCCATCCCTGTCCTTCTCGACACCTTCCTGCTCATCCCAGCAAAGCTGGGATCTGAATAGGGAAGTCAGGGCCCTGCAAAAATAATTCCTACCTTCTGGGGAAAGGAGGTCCTCAAACCTTCAGATTGTAGGTACCCCAGACTTGAGAGTTCCTGAGCTTCAGGAAGGCAGGGGGGCAGCCAAACACAGATGGTATTGTGTTGGGCAATTCCTTCATTCCTTTATTCACAGACTTCCTCCTCACCTCACCTCTCTCAGCAACAGAATGGTGCTGGTGGGGGCTGGGGAGAGGACTGGATTTAGAAGAAATAAAAGCAGTGGTTCACACCTGTGCTTTGCTGAGGCCCTGTCTTCCCCTTTATGTCATTTCTCAGAAAGCCTAGGTTGGAGGAATTACAAAACTCATTGTTACATGAGGAAACCCAGGCTTGGAGAACCTAGCTGGCCCAGGCTCCAGGAAAATAATAATGACTAGTAATTAGTATCGTTTATTATGCAGTTATGTACCAGGCTTAATCTGCCTTAAACCACTGAATCCTCCCAGAAAACTTATGGGATAGTTATCCCCATTATACAGATGAGTAAACTGAGGCTCACAGAGATTCACCAACTTGCCCAAGGTCATAGAACTATTAAATGGTGATGCTAGCTTTTGAACTCAGCTGTGTCTGGCTTGAGAGCCCAAGCTCTTAATAAATTGCACTGCCTAGAACCCTGACTCTTGGCCTGGCATATCCTTTTTCTGTCAGTGGGGTGGGCCTTGGACCACATACCAGTCTTATAGGTGGGGAAAGTGAACTCAGAGAAGGCCAGAAGCAGTCCGAAGTCTCGTGGGGGGGCTGTTTGGAGTTTTCTGGGAGAAGGAACAATGGGGTTAGCTTCTCTCAGAATCCTGGTAGGAACTGGGTGGGGGTCCCACTCTTAGCCTATCCTCAGAGTTGACTGTCTGCCTGCCACTGACTTCTGCCCCTTGTATTTCTTTGCAGCTTTCAGAAAACCAACGCCAAGACCCCTCCCAGTGTCCACATCGTCCTCTGGCAGGAGCGCCTGCCCCTCTGCCTCCGGCCCCACCCCACCTGCACCCCCTGCAGCCCCATCTCCCCCCCCACCCCTCCCTGCCCATCTCCTCCATGCAGAAGCCCAAGGTGAGCCCTTTCTGCACAAAACCAGCAATTGTAAATACTTTTTAAAAATGTACAAAACTTAAAAACAAAACACAGTTTTAGAAAAAAGACAAAAAAAGAGAGAGAGAGAGAGAGAGCGCGAGAGAGCGAGCGTGTGCAAGAGGTTGCGAGCGGGGCCTCGAGGTGTCCAGAGCCCCTGCAAGTATGCACTGAGAAATTTATCTACAGGTTGTTTGACAAAAATGAACAATATCCTATTTATTGTATATACTGTTTTATTATAAATCGTGGATTGTATATTGCATTCTGTAAACCTGCTGTGGTCCCGTGGTGTGCAAATTCGCATGGTGGGGGTGGGGGGAGAAGAACCTCTTGCGGGAGCTTTTTTTTTTTTCTTTCTTATTTTTCACTCTTTTGGGTTTTCTCTTCTGTTGTTGTTGTTGTTTTCTGTTGGCAGGACACACCCAAAGATCCAAGTTTGTATTAAAAAGAAATGAAAAAAAGCAAAAAAAAAAAAAAAAAAAT